TGTAAAATGATTATTTTCTCCACTAGTGATGATTTATTTCTTTGGTCCTCAAGCAAGATTTGTCAAAAATGTGCTCAAAGATCAGAAGAAATTACTGATCTTCTCATGAGTTACATTTTAGTGTTTAAACATTTTAATATCACAACTAACCTTCTTGAGTTGAGTGTGTGTTTAAGAAACAAATACGTGGCATCAAGACACATGTAAAGGTGAAGATGGAATGGCAATCATGTAGAAAACAGTGTGTGCTGTTTACTCTCAGGTGAAAATACCTTTGGTTCAGAACCACCAGAGGCTACTGCTGCAATAATGTTAAAATAATGTGCCAGCACGTCTTAGCAAAAAGTAAGGAGAGTTGAGAGAAAGCTCAACAAAAGTAAAAGAAAGAAAGAAAGAAAGAAAAGCATTGGACAGAATTACAGATGTACTAATGAGCAATGTCTGTTCAAAAAAAAAACAGCCCAGCAGTGCCGCCATCAGCCCAATATATAACCACCCTGATGTTTCCTGAGTTTATTCTGTTTTTAAAGAAAAATAAATGAATGGATTTGCTCTCCTAGCACATGAGCCAAAAAACGTTTTATAGTTTCTAAGTTTGTTTCTTCGTGCACTTTAGAGTTTCCCGTCTGGCCCCACCCGAGCGATCCTGTCTGGCTGCTAGAATTTATATGGTGATGATGTCACAGGAGTAAAACTCAATTTTCTAGGTTCTGGAAAAAGTTTTACAAATTTAAAAACCTCCATGGATTAAAAATAAATAAATCACAACAGAAAGCAGTTGTGTTGCTTGGCAACATGTAGCTAAACAGGAAGGGGCTTAGGGCTTGGCCCAGAGCTTTATAATCCTGACAAGTTTTAAAACTCGGAAAGAGAAGTTTTCACTGATTTCTGTCAATTTCGAGAACAGAGTAGCAATGCATTCTACACAATATTATTTTCAAACTGTCTGTCCGGCGCTGATAAGCTCTCACACATATATATGGACTGTCCTGTCCTCCCGTCTCGCTCACTCTCACCTCTGACTTCTCCACATCTCTTTATATTCGGTGCAGTTCGGGTCAGTTTTCCCGTCAAGTGTTCTCTCTTCTCTCTCCGCTGCAGCTGTTCCTCACACTCAGGCTGGCGGCTAATATTAACATTATTTAGTTCCTACATTTAGGTCCTGTTTAATCATCGCTCACAGCACTTTAGCTGAGGCTCAGCTGTTGCTCTGAAACTATTTTAATACAGGCTCATTAATCTATAACAAACACCTGCGACATAGAAATCTGGTTAAACTGTCCGTTAACTTAAAGTTATTCCACATCTTTCAGCCAATCAGAATTCTTCTTTTTAACTAACTTTTTTTAATATTCTTTTTGATTTATTTAACACCTTACACATTTGATGTTTTAAAAATATATATACGTATATATTTATGGTTCTATGGCCCCTCTCTGTGAGTTCACCTCTTTCTCGTGCATTTTTCCTCTTTTTAAAACAGAAGCCATGTCTTAAACTCATGAAAGTCAGATGGAGAATGCCGCCATACTCCCTTAGCTCTGTCATCACCCCTCGTCTCTCTCTACACCTCTCCAGCTTCTCCCCAGTGTCTTTCTCCCATTCCTCTCTGCCACTCAAGCATGTCGCTCTTACTCCCGTCTCTCCGTCTCTCTCTGCCTCCACCTCACCAGCATCAGCAAACCAAGGTCAGCTCCATTCATTCCTTTGGAAATCTGTTTAATACCTACAGGTACGGACCCCAGTCTGGAACGAGGCCCAGAGTCGTGCCTTGCTCAGCCCGCTGAGGGATCACACCGTCTGTTTTGGTTTGGAAAATATCCAAGGGTCCTTGAAAGGGAGGGAGTTCAGGATTGGAATACTTTCAAGTGCCCTCTCTACAGATTAAGGTGGGTTTTTGGACATTGAATTTGGATCACGCCCAAAGGTCTGAGCGAGAGTTAAAATTTGGAATGCTTGGAATGAAATGTCCGCTTTATGGATAAGGGTGGATTTACAAGTTTGGAATTGGGCCCAATGGTCCAAACAAGAAAAGCTGTTGAACCTTTAAGTTTGAGACCTGTTAAAAGCATGACTTGTTCAAAAAATCCCGGACAAGGGTGTACGAGGGCCATGTATTTATCTTAGGAGTAGTCCTAGTGTGAACCAAAGAAGCATGATTAACATTTAGAACCTGGCAAAGTGTCAGACTGATCAAAGACCCCCTGACACTGGTGTATAAAGGCTATGAATTAAGCTTGGAGCAAATCCAAGCAAGCACGCAACCGAGGGAGCATCTTTAAAGATCAGAGCCTATCAAAGTGTCAGACTTAGCCATGGCCCCTGTCTGGGGAATACATAAGTCAGTTATTGGGTCTGGAACAAGTCCAGCAGTCTTTGTGTTAAGTGAAGACGAAGGTGCTGATGCAGGTGAAAACACATCCCACAAATTTTTATTTTTGCTTTTTTTAGCGCATTCATTTCAGGTTCAGATTTATTTTTTGCCATATGCAGTCATATTTATTTCCCTCCTCTCTCATATTTACGGCCTTCTCCACAGGTGCAGGACTGAATACAGACGATGTAACCAGGAATTCTTAAAAAAAATTACTCCTGTTGGGGAAAAAATGTTTGCAAGAAGTCATCCTAACCCCTAAACACGACTGTAATTAAATACTTCTGTGAATTCTTGCTAATGTAGTTGTGTATCTGTTTTCAGCTGCAGCAGTTTCTACCAATTACTATTGTCACTTAAATGACACCGTATGGCTTAATAAGTCAAAAACCAGTGGATCAAACAACTCCAATTTCCTTTTTCCATCTAAAAAAAAACATAAAATGGATGAAAATAAGCACATTTGAATGGCTTATAGGTGAACAATTCCCCAGGAGGAGATGACTACATTCCCATTTAGAGACAACTTTAAAATCACAAAGAACTTTTTTAAACACCATCCTCGCACAAGTGTTGCAAAAAGTTCTCTAAAATCCAGTCTGCCTTCAATATGTACTCAGCGTCCTCTGAGCATAATAACATACTGTCCTAATTACAAAGCTACCACGGTTTACAGAGTTATGTTAGTGATCTTTGGTCCCCATTGTGAAAGATTATAAGAGCCGAATTTAATTAGAGCCTCTGTGAATCTTTGTGTGTGTGTGTGTGTGTGTGTGTGTGTGTGTGTGTGTGTGTGTGTGCTGCATTACTTGTGTTGTGGAAACATTAATCTGTTTACACAGTCACATTGCAGAAACCCGCATCCCTTCTGGGGACAGAAAGCAAGCCCCCATAACGTAAATGATCACCGTTTAAGGTGAAGGACAAAGAAATCGATGAATTCTGAATTCTGAAAGCTTCTGATATAGTTCTGGAGAAGTTATTTGTCTCTCATGGTAGTGACCTTACACCGGGATCCCAGAAACAAGGCTTGTGCCACAGTAACAAGAGTTGTGTTACCAGTTTTAGATTCGCACCACTGGAGAAATACGAGAGTTATCTGTCATTTTACTTCCTCTCCTGCTGTGTTGGGCTTTTTAATTGCACATGTGCAATTAGGGAAGTTATTGATAGACTGAGATAAACTGTAATCTAATCTGGCATTTTTGGTCATGACTAATCATTATAACAAAGGATTAGTGAAAGGCAAAGTCATGCATGTCTGCCTAATGAACACATTAGCATACAAACACAGCAACTTGCTGTAATCATGCATGTTCACACAGACGAGGAAGAAGCATTCGAGGACGTTTATTTAAAACAGGCTGCGCGGTGAGGAGTGAGGAGATTCTGTGTGTGAGTTAAAGCGTATGCGTGTGTGTGTGTGCGTCTTCCTACCTTGACTTGTCCGACGTAGGCGTGATCCTGCTCCTCGGTGACGGTGAGGTTCACAGGCAGTGAAGAATTGAACAGCGGGTCATTGTCATTAACATCTGTCACCACAATGTTCACCGTCGCAGTGGAGGTCTACACACACACACACACACACACACAAGCTTGCGTTACTTTTCGGGTCAGTTCAGAAAACCTCTGACTGGTGTCACAAAGTTTTGCTATGTCTGTGACACATCACTAAAGTATGCAGGATGAATCTGTTTTTTAAACTTCAAAGAGGTTTAATTTCTCCGTCCATTTCTACCTTATGTAACAAACTAAAGAGCCCATTTTGCTTGCTAATTAGCTGTACTCTGGTCCTGGCTGCCTCATCTCTCTATGCTTGTATTAAAAAAAAAACATTTACTCTAAAAATACATTGAAAAACTCTTCCCTGTTGGTGCCCTTTCTGTGTTAAAAGGTGTGTTTGTGTTATCCTGTAGCCATGCACTCCTCTTTTCTTGCTACAGAAGACTGTAGGTTTGGATGTTTGTTCGACTGTTGCGGTGACAAGTGTGATTCAACATGCTGCCCTACAGGCGACAGAAAAAGGAGAACCCTTCTGTCCCTAAGCCTTGATAAAGGTCATTTCATGCTTTGACATAAATGTTGTCATTCACCGAAGTCCACAAAGGTCTGAGCAGGAACAAATTATGTTTAAAACAAACGCTTGTCATGAGGAGATACTGTGCAAAGGGGGTCATCGACATTTTCATAATTCAATTAAAGCAGTCGGTGTAGATGCTTTGATTTGTACATGCCCAGCTGGAAGTTCCACATTCACCCACCGTGCCTGACCGACCTCAGAAACAATCACACTGACATGGTGTTTCAGTGTGATCTGCAACTACCTGCCACATAAATGGTGCGACGTCACTGCTAGCTTTTTCAAAAAACACATCTGCAGGAGCCCCGTGTGGTTTTCTCTGCTCGATATGTGGGTCAATGTGACTGTCTGCCGAGCAGAGCGTCGTGTGCTGCATGCGCATCCGCCGTCTGCTTTAACCGTCTGCATCGATCTGCGCACACAGAACGCATAAATCGGCCTTTACACCCCCTTAAGGAGGCCCACATGGCCAGCTGCTGACATCACGGGTGCATAGTTGCTGTTATACTACGTTGTGAGGCACTTTGAGGCCACTTGGAGGACATATTGTACACATTAGAGTACATTAGAATTAGTAAACAGTGGATCGTCATCTATGCTTTTTCTGAATGCACACTATTGTAGAGTAACAGCCTAATTCTGTACACATCAGTCCACAGAGGGGTTTAACCTTGTGAATTTGATCAGGAAATTGACATCGCTCTGACCCTTGCAGATGCAGAAAGTATACACCGATTTTAAAAACACCCACAGACCTTGACCCGGCAACGTAAAGCAACTTCCCTGTATTTACTGCTTCACACATTAGCAAGCTTTTCACTTGACGCTGTTTACCATCTCTTAGGTTGCTTTTGAGGAAGAAAAACCTCTAAAAGTAGTGCTTAAAAATAAGGTAAGAAGCCATCGTTTGACAGCGTGTGCACTCTGACTAGAAAGTAAGCAAAAAATTGCTGCTGCTATTGTTGCTCTGATATTAGTATCTGAAAATGATTTGCACCATTTGAATAGCGAGGATTTGTGCTTTCAAAGGATGACTCCGACTGGGCTGACGGTATTCAAAACACACTGGCAAAAATTTTCTCTTGGCCTGTATTTGGGTTGGTGAGTGTTCAAGGGGTTTTAAGATATGAATAATTAAGAAAAATGTGAAAATTACTTAAGGGCAGCCCGACAGCGGAGAGGCCATCAGTGGAGAGTCCCTGCATGTCACCGCTCTGCTGTCTTTCCCCACGTTTGCCGTCTGTCTTTACTGTGACTTTCTAATGCTTAAATAAATTATAAAAATACTTGAAAAGGGGAGCTAAGGGTCAAAGAGAGGCTGTGTTTACACTGATGTGAACAAAAATGCAAAACTCCTGACTGCTGCTTCACTCAAGGGGTTTGTCGTCACCAGATTTACTTTGTGTTGTCTGGGGAAAAAGAAAAGTGAACTGATGGACTTCTGCTCAAAGACGGGAGATGGATGCTCATTTTGAAGGAATTCCTTCAAAATAAATGAAAATTTCTGTCAACAAAGATGGGAAATAAAACCAACTAAACTGATTACCCAAAACCTTGAGGCGTGTTTGAACAGATTTGGAAGAGATCCATTAAAAATTACAAAAAAATGTCACTAATTTGTTTTACTGTAAATGCCACCAAGTAACCAAGACTGAGCAAAGAAAGAGAAGCTTCTAGGAGGTCACCAATTTTTTTAATTTGACTTTCATGAGAGGAACACAGAGAGTCATCCAAGGATTGACTTTGAAAAAAAAGGGAACTGGGAGGAGGAGGAAAACGAAGGAGAGCTAACCGATTTACAACAGTGGGATGAAAAGAGGAAAAAAAAAAAAGCAGTGTGCGCGTGGGAGAGTGACAATCACACAGGCGACAACAGGCTATTGAGGTTGGCAGGGCACATGGTGATGCAAGTAATTTGAGGTTAAGAGCTCACAGTTGACAGAACGGTTTATCTGAATGCCAATATATGTAAAGTAGAATGAGCTCTGATATAATGAAGAGGCAGGTTATGAGCAACGCTGGCAAACACACACACACACACACACAGACAGACACAAAAGCCTGAGATAGAGTCAGCTCCGTTTGGCGTTTGGGGGCTCTTAACACATCACTTTTCAATAGGCGCACACCTCAGAGTTTATTATCTCCTAGATACTGTGGCCACCTGCCAAAACGTAACACCCACCTTCCTGGAGACGCCATATTTTTTAAGGGTTCAGCTGTATTACTTTGAGAGATGCCCTGATATGGAGAGTCACAGCCCATATCTGATAATGTTAATCGTGCATATTAAAAAAATGTATCGGCAGGAAATATAGATTTTTTCTAGACTGACAAGTTCATTTTTTCTAATACACCAATGAAAATATGAACATACCAAAGCTGGTGTGTATCATGCTGTCTTAAGTTTCCACTGACTCCTATAATTTTCTATAATTAACGATTAATATAATAACGATTGATTCACACGTGCTTCAATCACGCATTTTACTTCTGTTATAAATTTATTATAGGTGTTCTGGAAATATGACAAAACCTGCTGGGTCAAGCTTCTGGTTGTATCTTTGGGCACTGCTAATAAACAAATCGGTGCCACTCAACTAAATTTTTTGGCTTTCTGACGTGTTTCTTTAGCCGATCCATAAGTTCTTGATGGGGTTCTAAGTCAGGACTTTGGGGAAGCCCACCTAAAAGCTTCATTTTCGCCTGATTCAGCTTTTTCTTGGGTCTTGCTGGAACACGCAACTACTTTCAAGACCCAACCGTCTGACTGATGATTTTAAGTTTTCCGGCAGAACGTGGAGGTAATCTTCCTTCATTACTCCAATTACTATGTGTAACACACTGGCAGCAAAACAGCACCAGAGCATAATACTTCCACCACCGTGCTCCCCTTATGTAGGAATGAATAGGTCTGTGAGATGAATGACCACAATGCTGGTTTTTGGTCTTTTTTTTTGGATGGCTTTTGTTAACATAAGAATTTTTAATAGCTCTTTCTACATTTGATGGAAGCAGATTCATTAGCTGATGCTCCGATACAATACAGTACACGCCATCTGACGACAGCAACACTGTCCTGCACCAAAGTTTAAACTGCATCCTACAATGCACACTGTCCTTACAGTGGAGCCGGTTTACTGCACCAACTTGTAGGGTCCTCAATCTGTGGCAGAATGATGGATTCACTGGCCAAATAGCCAATTAGGCACTTTGTAGTCTGACACTCTCACAACAGGACATTTAATAATATGGGACACCAACGTGTGTGTACGTAGGTGTGTGTGTAGGTGTGTGTGTGTGTGTGTGCACATATGAAGACAACCCAAGGCCTTTCGGGTGATGCTGATTAATGGGCCTGTATAAGGCAACTACACTCCAATCTTCCCTTCTCCTTTTTCTATTTCTTTCTTTCCTTGTCTTCCCTTATGTCTCTCTGTAGCTGATTCCATTCCTCTCTTGTATACCCCCTTTCTCTCTCTCTCTATTCACAATAGTCTATTCTTTCTTTTCCCCCTCTCTCCTTCGAAATATAATGGAGTGTCAAGCAGAAAAATGTCCAAACTACTTTTAGCCATTTTCTGACTTGGAGACCCTTGGGGCACAAAGATAATACGCTAATTGTCAAGGTCCAGAGAGCAATTGACTAAGTATGTGTGTGCATGTGTGAGTGTGTATGTACCAAGACTTGTGTTTGAACACACGGTACAATTGTTAAGGTAATAACGGCCCCTTCAACACCTCTCTCATCTCTCCCCCTCCCTCGAACCTCCTCCCACTCGCTGTCTCTCTCCATATTGTGTGCGAGGCGGTGTGTAAGAGAAGGTCACAGTATTATAATCAGCATTTTGTCTCCTCAGAGGGATCTTAAACTTTACCTTTTGTTTTAATTGACATGTGGGGGAAGGTGGGGGGGTGGGGTTATTGGAGAGGAGGACGGATTTAATGCTAGACTAATGGATGGAGAGGAGCGGAGAAGAGAAGAGGAAGAAGAGGAAGAAGAAAGGTAAGCTGATGAAAGTCAAAAGGAGCAGAGATGAAGGAAAGAGGGGAGGGCATTCGGTGTCCTCATTTGACTTTCATGTGAGAGCGATTGTGAGCAAATGTGAGAGAACGAGAGGCAAACACACAGAGAGAGAGAGATAGAGACAGCGACTCCGGTGACCTGTGATCAATTAGATGAGTGAGGAAACGAGCAAGGGCACACACACCTTTGTTCCTGAGGAGAAAGGCTCATGTAAATAGGAATAAATAGGATTTTTTTTTTTCTTTTAAATTTTAAGCATTTATTCAGGTTTCCACTAAGAGATGAGGAGGCTGGGAAAAAGGCTGCCATCGTAGACAGATAGAGGAGATCCAAAAAAAAAAGGAACAAATTCAACATATTCAGACAATCTGTCCACAGAGAAACTGATAATGTTGGGTTTTACACATGACAAGTGCCCTAAAGTAGTTGAAAAGCGAAAGGAAACTTGAAATTATAAGTGCAACGCCTGGCCGAGAGAGTCCGAATGTCGGATTTCCAATTTCAGAAAGTTAAGATAATGCAACACTATCCATCGTCAGACAGATGTGAGAGGAGAAGGTTTGCGAAGCTATCCGACCATCTGACATGCAGTTCACACGGACTTTAAATCCAAGTTAAGTCTGTAGATATAGTTTATGTGTGTAAATGGTGCAGATTTACAGTAAGTGTTCTTCATCTGTACTGAAATGTCAGAAGAAACATTTCAGTCTCGTCTTCTTTGTTTAATTTCAGTTGGAAATTAAAGACTTCTCACTTGGGAGAGTTAGACCAGACGGTTAGAGAGGAAACTTAGCTGGTGAAGGTTTGAGGAGGAAAACATCATAAATAAAGTAGGATAATCAGTTTGCAGGATTCTTCATTCAGTAGTACAGACGCAGCCTTGTTACTCTGCTGGACTACCAGCTATTACGGCCAATTTATGCATTTCCGAGGTTTTCCTGCATAGAAAAACTGGCATCAGCACAGGAAAATCACCAGAGGCAAAATGATAAGATCAAGCATTCAAATGGTCAGAAATGACAGAAAAATGCATAGATTTGTGTTACATAAAGCAAAACACGTTGAACACAGTCTGCTCATGCTTTCTGTTGGACAAAGTCAACCCCAAAGGGCCAAATCTGAGCCACGAAAAAGTTGTTTTTTCCCCTGTTGTTGCCAGAAGACTGATGTTTATATTGAAAAAAACACTGATTGTGTTGATAAAAACTCCCTGTGTCTGTAGTTGAGTATAATATAATAAAAGGTTGTAGACCATGTTTGAATCCAACAGTTCATTATCCCATAGGTGACCTCCCAAAACTGAAGCTGTCCAACAAAATAAACACAGAAAAAGCTTAAAGAGTAACCTAACCCCACACTGAATGCCCTCTTTGGTCTACAGTATGTTTCACCTTTGACCACGCCTACTGAGACTGTTTAGTTGCACCTTCAGCCACAACCAAGCAGCACACCTGTACATCGCTGCTGGTTATCAAACAGGATTAGAAAAGCCTCTCTAGGTGATTTTTATGGGTTGTTAAGTTCCCCCTCAGTGACAGCAAACACTTGTAATCGGCTACGCTGACATTTTAAATGACAGAAAAGGGTTTACAGGTGACAGAAAACGTCTTTCTTAAATTTACTGCTCCACAGCCCCCAACTGCCCCCTGGCAGCTGTGGAGCACTAAATTCGAGCAAGACAGCTGTTATCATTTTTGGAAAAAGCTCCTCACACAAGCAATAAACACACACCCTGAACTCATCACATACAAACCCCCGTTTGCGTCATATTTTAACACAGCGGGTAGCGTTTTTTATTTTTACATGTGAGGTAGTTTGATGGAACTCCTTCACGGTCAGAAATAAACATCATGAGTTGTTCCTTTTCAGACAACAAATTAGATCTGATGGGATTCGTCACAGTTGCAAAAGAATTAAATTGACTTTTAACATGTCCACAAGGTCCATTTTAACCCAAACCATGATCTTTCACAAACCAAACAGCAACCAAAAGTGAAAGTAAACAACGACTGAAAAGTCTCAAGATAATACAAAAAAAACAAACCCTCAGTGGTCTGGGTGACAGCTGTGTGTTTGATTCTTGCCTCCTCTGTCCCTTCCTGCCTCCAAACAAGGTCTTTCTTGGTCTTCACACCAACACTTCCACAAAGAGAACACTGCATGCTGAAAACTGACGCAAAAGGAATACCCAGTGCACTGAAATGTGACGCCAAGAGGTCCTGACCAAGTGTCAGCTACATCACACTGACATTTTTGGATTTATCCCCTTTGGAGGGTGTCCCTGACGAGCTCCTTTTTGAGTGGGGGGAAAAAAAAAATGCTGGTTAAGACAGATTTATCCATCTTAGTGTCAGTGTAATCCCAGTTGTTTCATATGAGACAGTGTAATAAAGCTAGTATGTATGATAAAAGCTGGTGGCCAGTTAAAAAGTGTGAGTCAGCGGATAACTTCTGAGCCCTGCTTAAGCCGTCCACTTTATTCTGTTCACATATGCTGGGACTGGAGCCTGTTTTGCTCAATGTCATGTATCCATACTTGTTTATAATACAGATTTTATTTTGATGAATGATTGATCATTATGATTACTTCTGAATGATAAGTATTTCCAAAAGCTGCCCGTAACATTCTGCTTTAAACGCACAACCACAGCTGTTGTTTGTGGCGTTTCACTGTGAAGGATTTAGAATCCCTTCCAGCAGCCACTCGCTTTAATTCCACCGGGGATGTGAAACAACTCAAGTAAAGACGACCAGTTAATATCTGTGTGGTGCAGCTGAGTTTCTTACTCCATCTGGGTGTCCGTCTGAGGCTGTGACCAGCAGGGTATAGTAATCCAGAGACTCCCTGTCCAGAGGATTGTCCAGAACCAAATACCCTGAACTGGAGAGAAAACACACACAGAGTTGTGGTTAGCATAAGCTTAGAAATAAATCAGAAAAGGAAAGTAAATGCACTAAAAAAAGCTACAAACACTGTGGTGTTGTATTCTTGGGATGTCAAACATGAAAACACTGATTGCATGAGAGGTTCGGGTTTATCAGTCGTTGTTTGCCAATCACGTCGATCACTCCTACGCTGATAATTCTAACCATCTGTCATAACCTTGTATGCAAATGCTATAAACCAGGAATAAGTTGGAAACTAGCTCATTCTATCAAAATGTGTATTCCTTGTAATATGCAACTTTTGGAGACAACTTTTCAGACGGTTCCACTGCATAAAAGCTTTACTGTGATTATGGGCACTTTGCAGATGGCACCTCATGCCTATCACTTCACCCACAATGACATTAAGGAACATCCTCTTGGGTGCTGTCGCTGTAATGGCTCAGACAGTGATGCGTCATTAAACACACTATTCTTAGGTAACAGTCCTTTCACAAAATTGAAGGCAAAGCGCCTCAAAACTACAGCAAGATATTCTCTGCATCTTAATATTGATTCATGGCACATTGAATATGAGAAATTCCCCTGGCCAGTGGTGAGAAAAAAACATTTCACAGCATCAATATATGGATTTACTGGTGTATAATATGCAGCCGCTAACACGCCCTAAAACATCTGTTGTGTAATTCTGAATGACACGAAACAAGCAGAGAGCTGAAAGATCAATAATCTTGAAATTTCATTAAGCAGAGCAGATGAATGTTTAAAATGTTTGATAAGCTCAGACTCAAGCTAGTTATTAAACACAATTCAGTAATCAAAATGACCAAGCAGAAGCAAAAAGAAACGTAGAATTTAAGGGCAAATGGTTATAGCATAAGTGAAAATGCACTCGAGAAGCTTCAGAACAGCCTGTCTGGAGCTTCTGACCAATTAAAAACCCAAATCTTTGATGTTAGCCTTGATTGACTACAGCCTTTTTTTTTTTTTTTTTTTCCAGTGACGATTTGCATAATGATTGAAGTGTTTTTAATTTAAGTAACTTTCATGAATTAGAAACCATCTGAGATGTACATATTCTCCATCTATCGACAGTGTGTGAAGAGACGTGAGTGCTGATGCAAAAAAAAAAAAAAACTGTGTGTGTGCACAGATGTTAAGCGGCCCACGGAGGGAAAGATATGAAGCTGTTTTAAACAAACTAAAAGATCAACCGTGCCCATGTGGGCATGCACACACGCACAGTTTCTTTCTAATTTATGCCACAAATTTTGACACATTTCCTTCACATGTCTGCTGCTCTTAAAACAAACTTCTGCTATAGCTTTTGTGTGGGACCTCGAGCAAATCCCAAAGTGCGGGGTGAACTCAAGACGACCCAAATTATCCAAAAAGCAACACTAATAAGCCTCCTCAAAGCTTGTCACTTGCATTCTGAACTAATGCGGGGCTTTTTTTCATTCCTGTATTGCAGTAATCAGAATTATTTGACCATTAGTGTGTGTTACATCAATGCCAGCCACTTTGCAAATTGCGTCTGTTTTGGTGCTCTAATGCTGCACTACTGAGCCAAATTCTGCACAAAAAGCAACGGAGGGGGTGAAAAAAAAAAGCTCTCCATCTTGTGCAAATATAAGCTGCATGGCATGTTGCATTTGTGCAGCGGAAAGAGAACAACTTGGCTTGTCGTTGGAGCGCCATAACGCAGAAAACACGGCCGAGGCACTGAAATATTTTGGCACGCATTGGAAGGTTTTACAGTGTCACACACAACCCATCAAATATTCCTAGAATGCACAAATAAAAGCCCTTCAATTGGTTCTAATCTGTGCTACTATGGATTTCTGTGTGCCAGCCTCCTTTACTTTGCTCCCTTTAGTGTGTGCTTTGAAATCCTCATTTGTCTGTCACCCTTGTTCATTGTTTCCTTCCCGGCTCTCTCTGACGTTGTCCCTGCCCCGCTCGCTTATCTCCTTCTTCTCCAACCCTTTACTCTCATCCTCTCCTTCCCTTTTCTTCCCCATAATGCTGCCCTCTTCTCTCGCAGTCTTTCACCATACTTTCCCTTTGTTTCTCCCTCTCTCTCTCTTCCTCCCTGTAGAAATGTAGATAAGATCTTACCCCAGCAACAGAAATGCATTTTTAATGAGCAATAAATGAATAAATACAACAAAAGCCCTCAGAGCCCTGTATGTATGTGTGTGTGGCGAATGTGGCGCATGTAGGGAAGAGTGTGGACGTGTCTCCCCACAGTGCAGTGAAGTCCAAGCTCTGGAATATATCCTTTATTAGACTGCTTTCAAGTAAACTCTCTCCCACACAAACTATAACTATATCCTTCTATGTACAGAAAGCAAAAAGAGTTTTCACATGTTGTAAAATCATATATATTTTACAAAAATAAGAAAATGCATGTTTGCTTCACTTTATGGAAATCTCAACTTCAACCAGCTCCACTATTTTTAATCAACCATGATAAGAATGGGGAGAACACTTACTTCTGCTGTAGTGTAAAATGTCCCTGGACGTCTCCGCTGTGGATTTTGTAGGTTATGGGGTCCCTCTCGCGATCCACTGCCTTAAAAGTAGACAAAGAGACACTTACATTCACACACATACAACCTTTCCAACCGTAGGTATGATGACTACACATTGGTGATTCCCAACCAAAGGGTGCATGCAACTCTGGAAACCTGCAGTTTCCTGATATTCAGGACAAAGACCAGGAGTGCTGTCTACTCGTCAGACTGCCACTGCTGCTTTATACTTCTTTTTATAGTTAGACTGCTGCTCGATTTCCTATTTAAGCAACCTATTGATCTTCTGTTTCGATCTAATGCTATTGTTTGTTTGGGTGGACTACAGGTAATATTGATGGAATTTACCTTATCAGCTGTTTGAGTACATCAAGAGGCTTTTTAGTGTTTGCATTTCAGTGAGCTTTCTTTGTAGTTCATCATCGTAGTATTCTGCCCTGCGTGATCGCAGTTCTAAACTTGGCAGTAGTTCCTCTTTGAGCGGGTTAATAGTCTCCCCATTTAAAAAAAATATGTTGGTTTGTCCGGTTTTATTCATTTATGGTCATTTTATATTCTTGGCAGTCGTGTTTTCACTTCAGCATTTTTATTTGGGTTCTAGGTTACTGCGTCTTTGAATATCGGTAATTTATTTTAAAATAAATCGTAACAGACTCATTTGAAGATCTGCATCTCGAAGTGAAAACCGAATAAACGCTACAACTGGTTAGTTATAAGAAGCAGATGAAAGGTTTAAACACGAGCTAAGATCGATTTATAAACAACTGAGAGCGTTTTATAAGTAGTGGATAAATGCTTTAGATATGTCGGCTAAATGAACGTATCAACGGTTGCAAAAGCAAAAGGTATAAAGAAGTGTAAGGGATAAACACCAGGAAATGTTAATTAATGTCAATTAATCACATGGAAACCATGGAGACCACACAAGACTTTCTTTAATTAGCAAGTTACACATTTTGAACCTAACGAGCGGCGCTGATGAAGAGGCAGCGACTTGAGTTTATCTCCGAGGGGCTGCGGTGATAACGGCTGACAAAACAGGTTGATAACCACCAGTGTACAGCAGATTGTGTGTGTGTGTGTGTGTGTGTGTGTGTGTGTGTGTGTGTGTGCACCTGCAGATTAAGCAGTGTGGCTCCCGTCCTCACAGCTTCACTGATCTCCAGGTTGTATTGTTGCCGGGGGAAACGAGGGGGGCTCTGGTTGTTTGGGGGCAAAACTTCAATATAGACCGTAGTAATGGATGACCTGAGCAGGGAGAGGGGAGAAGACAAAAAAAAAAAAGAAGAAGAGCAGGGGTGAGGCAACGAGGACAGATAGCGAAACAGCCGGTAACACAGCAGCAGAGGAAAACTGTGGAGGAGGAAAAAAAAAAAAAGGAAGAGGAGAGGAGCCGGAGGGAGGCACGTGAGGGGGGATGCCGGGCAGGAGATGTGTGTCAGGGAGCTATTATTTAAGCTAAAAGTGGCTGGCCGATGTTTGTTTCTTTGCACTTCATGCCGTGTTTAACTAATCAATAAGAGCGTAAAGTCAACAACAGTGTGAGTGACAAAGACACCAGATAGTGTTCTGCTGCGGGGCTCGTGTAGCCGTCTCTTTGCTGGGCTTAAGGTTTCTTTTGTGCATTCTGACAAACTAACTCGGCTGATTCGCTCGTGTGGAGGGTGGCCGCACTTTACTGACAGAAACTACTTATTTTTCACTACGTACAGTTTCATAAAAGTACGTCTGCGCAGCGTGACGCGTTCTTATTCAGGCATTATCATCTTTTACCGTGCCCTTTATTATGCAGTATAATGCACCTTATTATGCACTGTGGCATATTTGACCTTCAGAATCTCAACTATTACTTAAAGCTGAGTCCTGCACTTGAACACATACCATTTTAATGCACTAATAGAATTTAGAGCATCAAGGGTTTGTGTGCATGTTGAGAACTGTATTTAGGAATAAGTGAAACTGTGACACACGTGTCTAACAAGGTTAATTAACATAATTACAGTGCTTGAAGACTGAATTAGATAAATAAGGGTTTGATAGACAATTTACCAAATAAAATATAGAAAATAGGCTTAAAAGAGAACTAAGGGTAAGAAAAAGTGAGTTTGTAATTTATAAAACACCAAGAAGTTTTCGAGTAGCAACAGTCGATTGTTTAACTTTGTAAAATGAAGTTTTAATTACACAGCGTTGTAATTAAAACTTGCCTCTGGTAAACAGTTCTGTTTGTTCAATAACCTGTATTCACACATTTTTCAATCAACGCACCACTTATACCCAAGCAGCATGTCACGGTAATGACCTACAACTGACGGAGATGTTTATTTCCACTCCTATAAAAGAGCTCGTGTCCTTGCATCCCGGTTTGTCTTCCTGAAAAGATTTGATTTCGCGAATGACTTGGAGGACAATAGCATTCAGCGACACCAGCTACACCGATTTAAAAAAAAAAAAAAAAAAGTTGTGATCCTGAGCTAGCAAGGTGCAAAAGAGCTGAAAGACTTGGAGACAAAACCAGTGACGACTCTGTGGCACGGAAATTATAATTAGTCTCAACTTGTATTTAATTCAAGCAGATTGAAGATTTCAGGAGTTGTTTATTCTCGCTCGTAGGTCAACGTGTGCCACGAGGTTTGTGTATGTTCGTTATAAAGCCACATTTCACATATTACGCTGCTTCTAAAACAACGGCGACGCTAATTAGTGCGAGTTTCCTCCTTCCTGCTTTTCTTTTTCTTCATTTCATGAGCGATTAGCTTGCTGTGTGTCTGTTTTTTCAGGTTTGGTAGAAACTTGCATGAATTATTCAACAAACAGGAATAAATTAACAAGGGGAAGGTAGAGCAATTAAGAGAGGGGATGATACACAAATTTGCTTTGGTAAAAGGAAAGAGAACTAAAATGAATTAGAAATGAATGAAATGAGCAGATATACACTCGGACCTTTTTCTACAAAAACACTAAGTCCTTATTTATTATTAACATTTTTTTTTTAAATCAAAACTTTAACATGCAGTTCTTAAGTAGTTTTAAAATTGGAAAACTCTTATTCAGTAGTGCAGCAGTGTGGAATATATTGTATTTATCAGACTTCCTTGAAGCTTTATAATGTTTAAACTGAGTGAAATATTTAAGACGTTATCTTTTTTTAAAGGCATCAACAGCCTTCAAATATTCTGAGCATCCTTTGCAAGCACATCTTCCAAAAACTCGGCCAAATGCAGAATCTTAGAAACGTTTTGTGATGCCCAGTTTGAGATTGAACAGGTTTTAGCAGCACAGCATCAGCCGGCATTGAAGGGCCCAATGCCAACAGCGCTGAGGCCAACAGCGGCATAAAGAAGAGCACGAAAACTCACCACAAACATTTCATTAACAAGTTTGAAAAAAGCTTGATTACTCCCACTTCGTAGCTCTGATTTAAAGTTTTAACTAGCATGAATTCCAGAGCGAGAAACCGCAGGGATTTGGTTTTGTGTTCCTACTTGGTGAGAGGGGGGGGAGGAGGGAGAGATTAACTCCACTCAAACTGGATCATCGACTGAAAAATCCAAAGAACCTCGGGTCTAAACAATAGCCCACAAAATCTGTTTACGTGCACAACAATAAATAAATAAACAAACAGATAAAGGCTGGAAAAATGTAAGCCGCCGGAGACAGTGAGAGCCAGTGTTTTATTAAAACAATTCAGATGGCATTATTGATGAAAACCGATTGACTGGAGATTATTCAGCCGTGGTTTCTACTGTAGCTGGAGCCTGGTTCTCCTTCTGTTCCTCCGTCCTATAACTCTCTGTCTTCCAGTGGAATAAAACCCCTCTTTGTAAACTGTTTTTTCTGTGTTTCTTATTGAATATTTATTGTCAATTTCGCGGACATGGATGTAAACGACTGTTGTTCTTGTACGGAACATACATGCAAACAATACGCCCATATGATCATGTGTCTGTACATCAACGTCTTGCAGAGACACATTTAGAAAGAATGAAGTTGTTTCGTATCGAACACGACATATCCAGCTCCTCCTTACTGTTTTAGAGTTACTTGGTGGTCAAGCGAATCCTCATTGGTTAGGTGAGTGGTAGGTGAAAAGGCACTGAGTGCACTTTACCGCGCTGTTTATGTTTTTCTGAACACTCAGAGTGCTGCTCTTCACGTTGTCAAAGACTCCTGGTTTCCACTGGATGCTTTCATGTTGTATTTCTAATGACTGTCTGGAGAACATGTATATACATAATTTTGTCCACACCTGCCTAAAGCAAATGTTCAAGTTTGTTTTATTTTCCTTTCCACCGATGCACAAAATTACATCAGTGATTACGTTTTGTCAAAATAACATGCAGCCATGGAGGATTCTAACAACATGGCTTGTATGTTCTGTGACAAAGTCCAGTTTTCTGTTGCATCGATTCAAGTTGAACACATTCTAAAATAACCAAATCAAATCAGGTTTACTGTCATTTTGCTGTACATACACAGTAGTACAGTTAAGATGAGAGAGCGTTTCTTCAGGATTATTCAACCAGTAAGTTTTGCAGAATGCACGTCTGGGATAAGACACTAAACGTTCGCTGTCGCTGTCTCCTGAAGGGGGCGCTGTGTCCATGCACGCTGCCATTCATTGAACATGAAGAACCTCTTCAGGTCCTGGTAGGTCTTCAGGGACACAAAGACACACATGATGGTGTGACGATGGTGAAGCCGCAGATGCTGCCCAGAGCTAGCTGTCTGTCTGTCTGTCCGGAATAATATCGTCCCCTCTTGCTGGTCTGGAGGGGTTAGCCTTTAGCCTAGCATGGATCCCAGCTCTCTTCCTCCTCTTTTGTTTACGTTCGTACCGTTTGCGCTTCCTTCTCTCTCGGGTAACTGCCGGCGTCGTCTCCAATCGGACTCCGTGTTGGTGTAGTATGTCCACATCACAACCAATCACCGCAGTTCCAACACAGTTCACAGCCCTGACGCCCAGCAAAGTCTCTCAGCTGCAAGTTTTGCAGAACGAACGTCTGGGATAAACAAGACACTCAAAACGTTCACTTTCGTTGTCTCCTGAAGGGGGCGCTGCGTCTATGCGCGCCGCCATCACCATGGCAACAAGGGGTTAAAGTCAACACCGATCCATAAAGTTGCCGCCCAGCTTAAGGAAACATAGTTTGAAATTCAGTGATGACATTCCAGTTACTAATCCCAGCAATCCTCCGTTACTTCTGCATGTTGTGATTGGATCATTCGAGGTTCCCTTTAATATTTCCATTACATGGACGGATTACTCGTGGATGTGTTTGCTTGTAGGTGCATTAGCTTCTATAGAAAGTGGGGAAAAAATGTGTCCTTTGACTAATTTGGGCCAAGTAACGAAAAGTAAAGTAATAAAACGCAATTAATTACATTTTTCTTGCCTAAGATTGCTTGTGCAAAAACCGTGACTTTAAAGCACCTCCGTAATTCGCTACAAGCTTTGTAAGGTGGCGTGAAAATGATTTCTTTTCTTTCTTTTTTTTTTCTCTCTCGCCATCTGGCTATTTATCTAACATCTTATCTCTCCTCTCTGGTGGCGCCCTCTTTTCTCTCTTACCCTCCAGTTTGATGAAAGTATAAATGAGACCCCTGAGCATAAGCTGTTGTCAGTATTCTGGGGTGCATCTATCTAGGCCATGCAAAAGCACTTCTAAGCTGAACGAAACATGTATCTCAAGGGTTCTTGGAAAGTCCCAGACCTCCCGAACATGGAGATGTAACAGTCAAAAGTGCAGATCCAAACTCATTAAAAAAAATGTGCTGTCTGTCATGTTTTGTTGGCGCCCGCCAGGAGGGGGACGCGGCTCATTTGGGCTACTGACCCATGGTTTTAACAAATCAGGTAGCAGAGATAGATATCGATTTGTTATGCAGGTTATGTTTTCAGCTGAGATAAACAGGGGGTCTGGGGAAATTTGGGGACAATCTGTGAGCCAATCACTGGAACCACCTCAATCTGTAGTGGTTCACATTCTGTATTGATTTGGCAGCTACATCGTTGGAACCAGGAGGGGAGAGGATTCTGGTTTTCGTGATGACTGACAAATATTGTTGGAGAAAGCAATCTACTGCAATAAAGATAACCACAGATATAGAATTAAATGTAAGCAACGGACATTTGTTTCATAGATAAGATGTTATCGGCGTTGTTCAATTAGATTACTCTACTACCACACTGTCGGGTGATTTAATTTGGGTGCATTCGAGGACAGTCAACTGTTGTAGGAAACCTAATTTGTGTTGCTTTATATAGTTTGGACTTCTGATTGCCTGAGATGCTGAGAACTTTTAGTAAATTTAATGATTAGTTTTCATAACTACTGATAAAATACCTTCAAACATGAAGCAAAATGTACCCAATTAAAATTCAATTGGAATTTGATTTTAAAGTGCCGATGACACACCGAGTCGACCAGTTTCTGTGGCCGAAAACCCGCCTTAGATTTCGAGCCCTGTGGGCATTTACTGGTGGCTATTTGGTAGATTAACATCCTGAATTAGGGTAAAAGCAGTCGGCTCTTAGACTGTTTGTTTGGCAAGAAACGTAGTCACCCAATTAGTGCAGCATCTTCTTACTTTTCACTTCCACCTTTTCCACAGAGCAGATGAGAAAGAACTGATGACACCAGCAAGCGGAACTCATGGACGTGCCAGATGCAGCTCTGAGAAATGCATTCTTAAATCATATCCTTTGCCTACATTCAGAGTAATTGAGCAGATTTCCAGGCATTAAATTACTTTTCAGCCACATAGCTCAAGTCTACACCTCCGGTGGATGTATTTGTACAGAACATAAATCCCTCTTTGTGTTACTACCACTCCTCCACCACAAGTCACTGCGGAAACACTGAAGAAACTATTGCTTTGGAAGTTACCCACTTGAACTATCTAAGTCCGACCGCTGCAGCTTTGTATTAACTTCAGATAACCTTTAGAATGTTCTGTTTATTTGCACGGAATGAGAGCTGCGAGTCTCTCAACAATTTCACTGAAACGGCATGAAGATGGCATTTCCTAATATCCAGTGTGAATGATTACAGCCGGCTCTTAGAGGTTCGTATTTACATCTTCGGCACAGACACTTACTCGGAGTGTCCGGCGCTCCCCTGCCATATGCAAAACGTTCATACTTCTTTTTCTATATTCCAACATTTAATCAGGTGTCAGGGGAGTTTATTAAATGTGATTACATTTCTGTCAGTACCCTGAACAGAACAGAAACCTCCACCACTGGCCACTGACAGCTCAAATTAACCGCTCAGTGACATCCTCGAGTGTGCCTCCATGTAATCACAGGGTGACGAAGAAATATTCCCCGCTGACCAGTTCAGCCTATATCAACTTATAAAATTGGCTTCCTATCACACAAGTCCAACCCAGTGAGCGATCGTCACCTCAGCACCGCGCTGTGCCTTTTCCTCACACTTTTAGGTAAAAGAAAGAAAAAAAAATCTCGATTAAATGTGCGTCTGTAACCGATAGTCGCTTTTGTTCCTTGTTTGTGGAGCAAGGACTTGTTTAGCTTGTTTGTCCTTTCTGCAAGGACGTCGGAGTGTTAATTTATCCTTTTGTTGAGCTGCTCCCAAGTGCAAAACACAAAGAAACTACACCCAAGTGTGCTTTGAGTATCAGAAAACAACAGGCTGCTTTCCCCCACCGATGCCGGTTTCTCGCATGTTTTGTTCATCGTGCTTCGGTGTTTGATGATATACAACAAGACAAGACAACAGAAAGCAGGCAGAGGGACAACATGCATCAAAAGGTGTTGGCTGGACTGCAACCTGCAAAAGCTCACGGTTTGTCCCCAGCGAGTCCCCGTTTCTATGATGTTTCTTGAGTCAAGTTTAAGCCCAGTGCAGCAGGAGAAAAAAAAAAAAAAAAACTCTCAAGGAATCAAACTCTTTACTAGTGCAGCTCCTGCATCAATCTATGGCGCAATGTGGGTTGACTGTGTTCCGGTGGGTGAACGCTTCGATCCCTGGATTTGCTTCTGTTCTCAAATACTGCATGGCAACTCCTAAAACTAAAATGTTTTACAGTTTAACTGCTCTCTGCCCAGACTTTTGCTACCAAATCAATACGCTCAGAGTTTACAAAAAATAGTAGGGGCAGCTGCTTTTTGCATGAAATAACACGAGTTGGGGAACAGCCTGAAATTGTGAGACGCTCAAAGTTACGGCTTCTTATTGATTTAATTCATGAAGTCGAGATGGAGGGGCAGAAAGCAGGAGACAGGAGGCCGGGGAAAACAAAAAAATAAATGAAATGTCACCTTATCAAATCAGACCTTGTTTTTATTCTTTAGAATACAACAGGCCATTGTGTATTGTGTTTCTTTTACTCTCTGTGGTGTTTTATTTGGATGCTACATGTCTCTGCATTTGTCCCATTTCTGAAATATGGATGGTATAGTATTCTTTCTGTTCTCAAGAGGAGGATATCTGATAGCGAGGCAAACTTTTATGTCACCGTGCCTCGCTTCTTCTATTCTCCCATTTTCCTCTCAGACTCCTGTCCAGCCATTTTCCAATTTAAAGCTAGAATTCACCATATTTTCCAGAAAAAAAAGGGGGGGGAAAAAAAAAATGAAAACGACTCACCTGAAAATGGCAAACAGATGGAGAGAGTGGCAGGGAAGGAGTAACAAAGAGGGGGTGATAGACAGCGCTGTGGCGTGTCTGACAATGAGTGTGAGCGCTCTGGAAAGCTGATGACCTTTCAAGCCTTGGCTCCAGACAGACAAGAGGAAAAAAAAATGCAGAGAGAAAAGCCTCCCACCTTCTTTGAGGTACAGGGCCGTTGTCCATGGCTTCTACAGTCAAAGCGTAGCTGCGCCCAACCGTGAGCTCGACACCCGGCGCCACAGTAATGACCCCGGTGCTGTGAAAACAGTTAATTTTACACGATTATGAACGCTCACCACGATTTCACACCGCAGCTTGTTTATTTTCTCACCGCCTTGGCTTATTCACAAAAATCTACAAACACCACCAACTGTCTCATCGTCACCCTTTTTGAACGTGGCAGTTAATTAACACGATAGTTTTAACAGTCTAACAATATATGGTTGGTCCTATAATGAAATGCCTAAAAACACACACATACATATACACACACACGCACACACAGAAATCAGTACATCCATTTACCTGAGGCACTTTGTGTAGTTTTGCAAGCGGATTTGTAGAATTAGTTTAGGAAATACTCTGACATTTGAGCAAATATGCTTAATGCACTTTCTTGCAGAGAGTCAGTCTCTGCTGGTTGCCTGGCAACCTTAAGGTCACGACAAGACTTCAGGAGGTGACTGAGAGATAGTCTTCTACATAACTCCCCTGTAAAACCACAAATTGCCACTTTTACACTCAGAGACTTTTTTTTTTAACCTTTAAATGAAGCCAGGCGAGCTTTTCCCCCGTTTTTAGCATTCATACAGAGCTAACTGGCTACTGACAGGACTGTGGGCTTTCCTTTATAACTCAATTGTATTTCCCAAATGTCAAACTTCTTATTCTTTCACTGTTAAAGTAAAATAAAAACAATCTAAACAATGCCAGGGATCCATTCACCTGTTGCTGATAAGAAATTGCCCCTGGTCCCCAGCCAAGATCCGGTAGGTGACCTGACCGTTCGGACCTGCATCGGAGTCAACTGCTGACAACTAGAGAGAGAGAAACACTCAAACATGTCACAAACACCGACACATGCTTTAATCAAATATGTTCCTGCTGCTACTACAAGTGTGTTGTTAACCCGTGTGTGTGACAGTGTCTACCTGTAACACAGTTTCTCCAGGCATCATGTCGGTGAACAGGTTGACGTTATACGAGACATTAGGAAAAGTTGGAGTGTTGTCATTAGCATCCAACACCGCTATCGTCACGGTGACGGGGAGGCTCTGCTGGACGCCGTCTGATGCTAAAAGCTGAAGAGACGCGCACGCGGAGAAGAGAAAAAAAGAACAATGTAAACAGAGCAAAGACATAAAATGTTCCATCTTGTAGAAGAGCTATGATTTTGAGAAGCCTGGTGAGGTTGTGGGGGGGGGAGGTGGGCGGACTGTGCGCTGAATACGTCCTTGACATCTTGATATTGTCTGTTTGTTTCCTTGTTTCCTTTGAGGTGCAGCGACTTTGTGCTTTTTCACCTTAAATCTGTGTGCCAGGGTTTATTTATGTGTTCTTGTGGGTGCAATTGAAAAAAAAAAAAACTCTGGGAATTCTTTGATCTAAACTGTCCCGGCTGTCTAACGGATCTCACCTACACACACACACACACACAGAGGCTCACAGTAATTATTCGCATGACCTTCAGTTAAATACAACATCAATTCCATTCAAAATGTATAGAACCAATAGAAAGCAGCATTTGGAAATACGCTCATTCGCTTTCTCACACCTACGACTGATACGACTCAATACAGTAAATATGAGGCTAGCCCCCTGCAGGCTCAAGCCTATTTGTTAGCGCACAGACATGGGAGCTCTATTGATTTTCTTCTCTAACTTTCACCCAGAAAGCGAAAAAAAAAAAAAAAGTCTATTTCCCAAAATGTTGAGCTGCTCCTTAAAGAAGAAGAATTTGCTGCTTTCCAATTAAAAACATCTCAATCTAATCATGTGGAGATTTTCTGAAATGTTTCCTCACATCAGCGGCCGGGAGACAGAAGTCAAACACTAAAATAGCCGGAGAGATGGTTTAGCTGTTCAGTCAAATTAGGTAAATAAACAAATATATTTCATGACTTTTTAAAAAGAAAAATTACCAAATTACATCATTTACCAGAGCTGACAACCTCCTCCATCTGTGACACGCGGTTCCGTCGAGAAAATTAACCAAAAGCTCGCTCAAAATCATGATTATTACATCAAGTTCACAGTATTCTACACGTCTCATTTAAAAATTCACCAAAAAGGATTTGTTGGCTCTAACCATATTCTGTAAAAACCTCAAAATTCAAAAGTCATCGGAGCAAAAATAAAGCTATGAGTGACTCAGCTGTGACCAACAGCAGTGACAAAACCGTAGGGGGGTGATTCTGTGAATTTGGTGCACATTGGGTTCCATGTTTACTGTAAAATATACCACAAAAAATAGTTTCTCTGAACATTGCATCAGATCAAGGACTATTTGAACCTCTAGGAAAATACGTTTTCCCACCTTAGGTTTGAAATCCCAAACATTATGAGCAATTTGTTTGTCACTTAGTTTGTTTTAAATTCAACCAGGTTACAGGACATTTTGATTCCTGTATGAATATAATACAAAATGATATTCTAACTAATCATGTGTCCCTTGTATAAAACAACTTCTTGAAAGTATATTTTTATTCTAAATTAAAATAATTTGACTCTCAAGCTGTACTGGGCTGAACTGCAGGTTGTGTTTACACAGAGCACATGTCATAAAATTAAAAACGCTTCCAAAAAAAAGATTAAAATTAAGCATTTCTTCTTATTCTTTTTATGATTTATGGGATTACAACTGCACAGACAACACCTTACTACCTCATCATACTTGTAGCCATGGCTGTGCCGTTTCAATAGAGATGCAGAGAAAAACAAGCCCACAGTGAGTAAAAATGTGACAGCTGCAAAAAAGAACGCCCAGAAACTGCCTGTGATTCAGAGGGTCGGTGTTGGCTAAGCAGGCTATTGTGCTTTACATATTTTGCTTTGTGACTTCTGTGCCTGCTTTCTTTGCCTGTCTCTTCTAACAGCCACTTCAGTCTCCCACCAGCGACTTCACGCTGCCAAAATTAACAAAAGCAAACATGTATTGTTTCATGTTTCTGGATTCCAAACACAGTGACTATCACGAGAGAAGAGGCTTCTTCACTGATACCAATCCTCTCCGCAAAACCATCTGCCATGAGGCTGATTGACTCCATCAAATGAAAATCCCTCTCCATTTCTCATAGCGCGCTCTCTCTCTCTCTTCATCCAGTTTAATTTCACCTTCAAGGCTTTCATGATGATTACTGTACACCTCTGCCTTTCAATCAATACAACAGACCTTCTGCTTTTATTTATCTTTAACTTCCAAATTGCTGAATGCACACTCAAGGGCACGCCAAACCACATTACGTTGCACGGACTCACACGGCCAGCGTTGCCAGGTTGCACGTGTCAGACAACAGGCTGCTGTAAGAGGCAAACATCGCCGTACGTCATGTGGTGAAGCGCACCCATTGAGATAATGTGCTTGGCAATGGGCAGCCTCTCTGCGCCCCACCAATAAAGAAGCTAAGATGGAGAATAAAAGAGGGACAATGGCAGAACGAGAGCGAGAACAACAACAAAAGAATAAAAAGAGAGCAAACGTACAATGAGACAGAAGATATGAGAGTCAGGCAGACAATAGCGGAATAACCGATGGAGGGACAGTAGGTACTCTAATAAGTCTTGTTTTTTTTCTTTTTCTGCAATGAGGAATGGCTTGAATACTGAGAAGAATCCAATCGTTAATGAAGGCGCTGCTCGTCATGCCAAACTAATTCACTGTTATGGCAGAAAATTCAATCCGGTATTGAAAAGTAGTGGAGCTAAGTGTAATTTTAGACTCTACATGTATAGAAAAAGGGCACAAAGACAATGCACATGTCATCCAATCTTCGTCTCCCTTTCTCTTCATTTCTGCCTCCCTTTCATCTTCAGTCTATCTACTGTTTGTGCTCTCTGTAACCTCCCGCTCTGTTATTTCTAAATGTGTTTTCTCTGCTCCACCTTTTGCTCACACCTCACCTCTTCCTCGCTTCTCCTTCCTTCTTACTGGTAAAATAGCTTAAAGTCAAGCTTGGGTATGGGGTTAAAATGCTCACAATTCTTTCTTCTATCTCTCTCTTGCCTTGTTTATTTTCCCCTCCCACTTCTTTGCTCCCTTTTTGCTTCCAGTATTCATCTCTTCTTTAGATAAAAGTCATTTTTCAATACTACCAGTTTTATCAGGGGCATTGAGCGGCATTATTCAAACGCATTCAGACGCACATCTCTCACCGTCTCCCTCTTGTGCAAACACTTTGTGTATAATGCACACAAAAATACCGAGGCTCTGGAGTACCGTGAATGTGTAGGAGTCTTGCGTCTCTCTGTCCAAGGGCTGCACCAGGGTGAGATATCGTCTGATTCCGGTGGCAGATACAGAGAAAAGATGAGAGTAACTGTCCAGTGAGAAGTGCAGCTGAGGATCCCGGGTCTGATGAAGAGAAGGACACATAGAGAGGTGAAGGGAAGGCGCTTTAACACTGACATCTTCTTTTTTTTTATTCTTAAATTACCCACTGAAGGAATAATTGGGCTCAGCCACTGGTGACAAGCCCCACATTCATTCAGTTGCAATGCATTTAAATCTGTTAAGTGCTGTCACAACTGTTGCGATGTAAAAACAAGACCTGTTAAAGGAATACACAGAGTTTTGGATCCTTGATGAATGGAAACAATGCAATTTTGAAGTAGGCAAAAACCCAGGTGTTCACTTTTCTCTCCCTCTTTCCACATGTCACAACATATTCAAAGTACAGACGTGACTCGATAATCTGACCCTTAACAATCCTAAACCTTGCTATCCAACAGAGTTTTAGGAAAAATGAACAGAACCAATGAAAAACAGCCTTAACCTATTAAAAATATCCGGAACATACCGACAGCCTTGGATTCCGACTCCGACATGACATTTTATGTCACAAATAAGGATAACGGTGTATTATCTGACTGAACAATTCGACAGATTGGCTACGTTCAGACTGCAGGACTTAATGTTCAATTTGGATTTTTTTGTAAAATCTGATTTTTCTGCGAGTTCGTTCACATTTCCAATTAAATGCGACTTGTATGTGATCTGCTGTGTGAACTTCATACGACCCAAAAGTGTCCCGCATGAGCAGAAGAGGACACGATGACGTCACACGCAGCGAGCGTGCTCAGTGTTTATGGAAGTAAACACGGATGGCGGCAGCGGCGGGGGAGTGGCGCTGCCGCCGCCACCACCGTCACCGCCACCGATGGTGGAAACAGAATTGTGACCGCTAACCTAAACTAGCATCAGCAGCTAAGTACTGCCTGTGTGTTCCACCCCGTCGGAGTGCTCCCCCGGGGTGGAAGTGGCCCCCCAACTGCGCAGAATATTCTGATATTCATCATTAATTGGGTCTGAATATCCAGAGACCAGAAAGTGCTATTGGGACCAGCCCTACTAGTTATTATAACAACTATGAACAATAATTAACAACAAATGAGCCTTCCAGCATCAAGCCCTCCTTGTATCTGGACCTCCGTCTTGACAATCCGACAGCCTTGCTATCCGACGTAAAAGAAGATTTTTCATTTAGTGTCAGATTATCGAGTCACGACTGTATTATATGTTACAAATTTAGGGAAAAATGTTGAAATCAGTAGAGAAACATCATAAACACTCCATATGCAAAACAGCTGAATGCACAGAAGGTGCTTGGATAACAGAATATGAATGAAAAACATGTTTTGTATGTTTGTGTGCGTTCCGTGCATGTGCGGTGATGGAGAGGCAAACCTCATCCAAGTCCTCCTCTGACATTACCTACACAGTCATCTCTTCTATAGGTGTGTGTGTGTGCTGTATATATATACGTGTGCGTGTGTGTGAGTGTGTGTGTGTGTGTGTGTGTGTGAGTGTGAGGGAGCTCTCATTCCAGATAAGGCTGGCTCAGCAGGGTAGGAGGGCTGATAATATTGTCGATGTAGCCGGTGTGGATATTGAGTCATAAATAAGCATGTGCACACACACACACGCACACACACACACGCACACGCACACACACACACACACACACACACACACACACACACCGGAGTCGGAGACACAATCGGATGCACACGCATAGATAAAAAGTGATGGACGGCGCATAAAAGCAATTAGGACTAATCATCATTGTTGCTGCTTGATGCTGGAGGAAACACCAGGGTTAGCAATATTAAAAATACCTCAATGTATATCAACCGCCACAAACGCAAAGACTTAGGAACACACACAGAACACACACGCATTATCCTCCCTAAGCCCATTCCCTGCTGTTGGGGTCTTTTAGAAAGCAATGAACCAAAGCTTGTTTTTGTCAAAATGCCTATGCTACATCTTAAACAAACTAAGCTCTGGGGAATGCATCGGCGATAACAATGTTGCAGCACTGTAAATTCTTACATTATTACTGAGAGGCAATTTAAGAGGGAAATGGTTTTACTATACAGATTCCCAGGGAAATTAGATAGGGCACTTCACACACTGCAAGCAAGGCACAAAGCAGAGATTCAGCAGAGCGAAAAGGAGGATGGAAATGGACACTTGAATTGACCGATCCCTCATTTCTGTATGGTGTGTTTAAATACTGTCACCATGCTGCAAGCTTTTGTTGATATGATGGTTTAATTTTGTTTTGAGGCAAGAGCTGGTCCATTTACACGACTGAGACCTGGATTTTATATCGCGAAGGTAAAGCAGAGTGCAAAAACTGCTTCGTCTTATTATGCCAGGAAATATGGATATACCAGCAGCACAGTGTATAGGGAGCTTAAAGCCTCCTCTAAACAGTCCAGTCATAGCTTTGTGACTGTAAATAGGCCTGTCAAGCTGTGGATGCAGTTTAGTCTCTATGTGTGGACAGTACAGGACAGCTATAGAACTTGGAGGATCGTGTCTTTGAACCTTCTGAACCCCAACACCGACTAAAAAGGGCCAGAAAATGTACAAACAAAAATAACAGCCGGATTTTGATCTTTCCAAAAGTCCTTTAACTACTCATGTGTGGAAACTTAACCAAATGTAATCATTACCTATACACCGCCTAATCCTCATTATGGTCGCGGGGGGGCTGGAGTCTATCCCAGCTGACTCAGGGCAATTTAGAATCACCAATTAACCTCAACATGTTTTTGGACTGTGTGGGAGGAAGCCGGAGAACCCGGAGAGAACCTACGCTGCACGGGGAGAACATGCAAATTCCACGTAGAAAGATCCTGGGTGTCCTCACCAGGATGCGAAGCGGCGACCTTCTTGCTACGAGGCAACAATGCTAACCACCGAGCCACCTTGCAGCCCCCAAATGTAACGTAACATTGTATTTCATCAGCATTTATTCACCTTATTCTACATGTCTCAACTACAAAAGCACCTACATTAACCAGATTCCGCTCTTTGGCACGTACCAAGGATTAAAGGACTTTAAAAAATGTAATAGGAGCAAAAACAACTCTCGTCTGTCCAAAAGCTAAGACAAAAGTGCAAGAAAGTGATTAAAAGGATGTCTGTCCACTTCAATATAGGCTGCAATCCCACGCACGGCTAATTTGTTTCTCTTTTGTTGGTGTTTTGCTTCACAACAAGTCAGCTGGAGACTTTGAGAAACAGCTTAATTAGTTCACTGCCCACTGCTAATCAAATCTGCCAGCTACAGTCGTAGTTTTCTAGAAACTAGAAGGCTGCTTTTGTTGATCTCCTTTTAAAATCAAGCCCATATTGTGTCAACAATTCCCGTGATTTCTGGGCATCAAATCTTGGTCAGCGTTGTTTGAAATATGTGAAATATGACAACAGGAAGCTTGACGGGCCAATCAGCAGCCAGTTTCCACTTCCTACAGTAGATCGTTGCACAGCCATCAAACACCGATCAATCAGCGTTTGTATCGATGCTAAATTTATTCTTGTGTTTGTTGTCAGCAGTGCGGTCCTTGTTAATGTCAATCAGCTCGAGATTTAGAGAACTCGATCAAAGAAGGGGAGGATAGAAGGAATGAAGTCAGCTGGTACCTACAGGTGTGTCACCGGGTGTCAGCTACAATGGAAGTAAATGCAAAAAAATAAATAAATAAAAAATCATAAACTGTTGGAGTAGCCACAACTATGACAATTACACAGAAAAAAAAAATCAAAAAGCAACTTCTGCATTGTCCTGTTTTACATTTCCATTACTCTGACTACCGTGTATAGTTTGATTTGTCAGTAACATGAGCATTCAGCAGCTTGTTCCCCTTCTACTGTCAATCATTCCCCTGTATGCATTTATTCTCACCTCCTCCACATCGTTATCCAGAGCTACGATGGCCAGTGGTGCAGACAGGCTGGTGGTGGTCGCTATGGTGGTTCCCACCGGTGATGCCTCGCTGATGTAGCCATGGTAACTGGTCTCCAGGAAGTAGGGTGCCTGGTTGTTTTCATCCAGAACCTCGATTTGGAGGTTGGCAAAAGCTGGCAGGGGGTGTCCGTTGTCCTGTTCTGCCTAATGTGGACAGAAAATAATTGTTCATTTTAGTTGTCAACCTTTTGCAGTTGACCAGCCACAGATCCTGTTGCTATGGCAGCATGTATTTACAGTGATTTACAAAACAACACACAGACATGGCACGGATCTTGGGCATAATAAATAAATAGGTGTTGTGAAAGTAAAATAAACTGTTAGATCTCAGGTTGTCATTTTATTATATGTTAATCATCTGTTAATCTTCTATTTCTGATCAGTTGCATAAATGTTTAGTCAATAATAGAGCTCTTAGGTCTTCTAAGGTTCGGAGTTCCAGTCTGAAGAGGCTCCTTCATAAATTTATGAAATGTAACCGAAGCTAAAGGTCTCATCTGTAACAAGCTGTTCTGTCCAAGGACTGTGGGAGTTGAAGTTTACATGGTAGGAAAACCACACAATAGGGTTTGAACTTACGACATATTCACGATTCAAACGAGTCATGAGGTAAAGAGTCTGTCATTCTTATTCTTCTTTGGGGGGCAGACAGAAGAGGTCTCTATCCAGTTGCAATGATGCACTTCTATTCTCTATATTACATATAATAATACATTTACCAGCAACCCAGCAGTGCGTTTCTTTTCTTATTTGAGGAAATGACTTTGGCAATTTTCTCCCCAACAATGTCTCGCACCCAAGGTTAAATATAAATTAAAGTTTTTGGAAAGGCTGACTCATTACTGGTGAGGTTACTTTATCGGTCTGTCACTTTATGAAACAAAGTATTTACCCCAAGACACCACGCACAGCAATTCTGGGTTGTTTCTATTTTGTTAGTAAGACTGATGGGGCAAATAAAAAAACTGTGTACAGGGCAGGTTGTGCACAAAGTTGGTCCTCAGGTAATTTAAATCTTTTCAAGAGCAGCATGATTGCTAATCTAATCGATGGAAAAATGCTGTCACCAACAGACAGGTTAATGAAGCAATAGGCTATGAAGAGAGAAAGAACTAAATCCACCAAGAAAGTAAGATCAAACATCAAACATTCCACAGGTATGAACAAGAATTCTTGTTTGAGTCCCGTTAATTCAGGCTAAATTTGTCTGGATTCTGGCAAATTGAAAGGATTTGCCAGAATCTTATCTTCAGCAATTAAAAGTTCCTGCTTGTAATGTAGCCAGTAATGCACTTGGTGTGATCAGAAAGTCCGTTCCAGTTGTTCATGAATAGAGTGCATGGTCATATGCACGATCATGTGCAGGACTCCACGGGATGTTGCGCGGTTAGCATTTAGAGGTACGTCACAAACGTTTGTGAACACTTGCATGTATGCATTTGTGGTTTCTCTATGGACTCAAGGTAATGCTCCCACCAACGGGACAGTGAAAACCTTTATAGTTGTTTTTTTTTTTTTTGTGCATGCACCGACACTATCGTCACTTCCCTCGACTCTGCTCGCTGGATGAGGCTCTCTGCGACTTCTTCAAATTCAAGTTGAAGGGTCAGTGTTTTGACAGTGGAGAAGATCCAGTGTGCGTCACAGATGGTGCTTAACACACTTACAAAAGGGGACTTCCAGGGAGATTTTCAAGCGTGGCAGGAGTGCTGGGAGCGGGCAGCCCCTGCACATGGTAAGGACTTCGAAGGGGAGGGCAGCAAATTGAAATCAGGCAGAGTTTTTGCTTTTTGTAGGCAGTCTCTGAACTTTTTGATCGTACCTCACACAGACCAGTTATTACAAGGTATTATATGACTGAAAACTTAAAAACATGAAGTTCTGGAGTGACTTCTATCCAAAATGTTGCAGCAGATTTATAGACATTCAGCTGCTAAGGACAGCTGGGATATTATCTACAAGTCACACTGAATGATGTCATTTACTGTTTCATGCCAATGGACTCAGTTTTGACTGAGTTTTCACTTTGAAAAGGAGAATGATTTTTGACTGAAATACATCACACGGTATTTTTGCCTCACGTCTCTCCCTCCAAGCCTGGGGGAGGCTTTTGGCTTTCTCTTTCAGCTTTGTTCTGAGGAATGTCCATGCCTATTACAAACACAGTGAATATTTTATTCCCAACCTCCCTGTGAGTAATCTGAAAAAACATGACAATACACAGATGAAAAAAACACCCATAGCTCACTGGTGTGAGCGGCTTCTGAAGATCCATGCGCTTGATTTACCCTGACAGTGCCCTCTAGTGGCTTTAAACATTACAACGGGAAGTAAAGGAGGCGATTCGATGCGCACGTCAACAGATATTTTCTTAGGTACATCTTGTACGGCATGGAAAAAATGTTAGAAACACATCCAATATAACCTAAATAATGAATAATAAACATAAAGTAGGGTTACCCCCTGTTTGGACAAGGTCAGCAAAACTGAAAAGTAGAAGCTCAGTAAAAGGAAGATTCATGGCTGAGCTGCTGTATTGGATTACATTAGATTTTACAGGTGCATCTAATAAACTGGCCAGGGAATGCAGGTATACAGCCACAAAACTGCATAGGTTGGGGTGGATGGATGGATCAGCACAACACTGGACATCCCACAGAGCTGAAATTCCATTTTCAGTTTCAGCAGAGTGGAGCCTAATGTATGTTTGGTGGGGTAATCCCATTACTGGCCTAACTGAGACAAAAGCACCTACAGCATGGAGAACATCCAATGCTTCACAGTTACTGCCTTTTAATATGTTCAGGGCGGACTACTTGTAATTGACGAACACCAGGAAGCACCAAATAAATAAGCTGAGGAGGAATATTCAGTCTTCATTTACACGTACAGAAATGCTGAACAGCTTCATGGATATCTGAGGGTTAAAGGCAGTTTTTGAAGGAGGAGGGAAAAAAAAAGCACCACACAGTGGTGCGACAGGTTGCTTCTGAGTTTCTATGAGAAACATGCTGGAAGAAAATTGTGTTAAAACTGCCGTATTTGCAGCTGCAATGTTTCTCACCTTGATAACCAGATCAAATCTGCGGTAGAGTTCTCTGTCGATGGGCTTTAGTAGCAGGAGCTCCGCTGTGGTTCTGTTCAAGCTGAAATAATCAGCAAAGGACTCCGGTTTGCCTGAGAGAGAGAGAGAGAGAGAGAGAGAGAGAGAGAGAAAGCAAGAAACAGTAAGAAAAAAAGCAAAAACAACACTTACAAAACCAAAATCAGCTTGCGTGTGAGAGACAGAGAGGTGGAAACATCAGTAATTGGTTTAAGAATCGATATATGTTTGTTTGGTGTGTGTCATGGGAGAAAGAAAAAAGGAAGCAAGGAGGGGAAAAGGTATGGCTACTGCTCCCACTTTTCTAATCTCGGCTTTCAACAAGCAGGGATGCACACGCATACGTACCGCACATACGTACATATATGGTGCAGTGAAGTGCTGTATTGTTCAGAGGGGAAATCAAGTTCTGGTGAGAGGAGCAGCAACACCAGCACATGTGCACGATCACTTCTCAATTGTGCATTTCTGTGTATGTCTGTTACCTCCCCAGATAGCTAGCATTAATTTGTCGGCTCCTACTGAGGAATGTTGTGGTTCCTGTTGGCTGGAAATTCAGGCCCAAGTGAATACACAGTCCATCTTCCACTGGCAACAATTAGTTCCTAGTTTTTTATATACTACTGGATTTTTCATTTGTGCTGTTATTGATAGTGGTGGGGGAGGTGGAGAAGACATGCAGGGAGAGTGAGCGGAGCATGACGTGCTACAAAAGGTCAAACATGGTAATTGCAGTTAAATGGTGTCCACCGTGACCTTTAGGGTACCGGGGCATCCCAACAGTCTGAAATAACCTGATCACTTGCCATCTAAAGAACATTTTTTCATTTCCACAGTGTGATGAAGTGGAAATAATGCCACTGCTTTTGACATTTATTCTTCCTCGACCATCAAGGATTTTGCTATTTTTATTCATTTACTCACTTTAAAATCGTAAACACTGGATTAGGTGCAAAGTTCCGACAGATTTTGTTGCCATTCGTCACACTAATATTCCTTACTCAGACAGAGATTAGTTTCACAGGAGGAGTCTGGGAAATGTAATCAAGTCTGTGCCAAGTCATGTCACCAGATTTCTACAGACTATGCACATTTTGTGACTCTGCATTCAAACAGTAATCAAGACGTCTTGAGGCAACTGCTGCCCTCATAAACCTCTTTCAACTTAAGCACTTATAGGGCATTAATGGGCAAATAATTCCATCTGTGTGATTTTGTAGCATCTTATCCTTTGCAAACTGGCTACAAGTATCCTGTTAATTGCTTCACATTTTAATCTGACGAGTTAATCCTGCACCTAAACATTTAAGTGGCTCCATCACAGAAACCTACTCTAACATATAACAGTGAAGGAAATGACCTGCATTTGACAAAATCTGATTCCATCTATCTGCTCCATGTAAACACATGTTTTGTTCTTGAGTGGAACATTAGGATTGACTCAAGGAAACAGAATTTGGGACTCTGCTTGACTTTTGTTTCACTTTAAACATATTAAATGTTTCATAAACATCGTGTTCAAGAAAACTAGTTTAATGACACATCACCTGGCCGAGCAGGTAGAGTGTGTATGCCTTTGTAGAAGCTTGAGATCAGCTAGAATAATAAAAGAATCTGTCATTTCAACATAGTACATTTCTGGAGAACTGTATTAAAAATTGATGAGGGTATGTCATCACACTTTTTGCACATATAACATAGAGACTCTACATTGCTGCTGAACAATCCTGCTCATGATTGATGAACGCTGTTGCATTAATGTAATCCTCTGAAACGCAAATCGTGGTTTTTAAAAAACGAAGAGAAAAAATGAAATGACCAAAATTCTCAAATTTCTGACGGTCCTTGAACAACTCATTTGTGTAATGCAATGCATGATTGGAAAACTTAACTAAATCTAAGCTTTAAATCGTGATGATTCATTAAAATCCCTTTTTTTTTTTAGATGTCTCACATTTTTTTTAAAAAAAAGCTAGTGTGTAGTCGCTAGATTCTGTTAATAAAAAATAAAAAACTAAATCAGTGCTTCTCAGAGCGGCTGTGATTAGTGACTCAGCAACATTCAGCTGACAGAAATTTTCTGACTTTTGGGCTGAACTGCAGCTGTTTTTACACAAAGCAGATTGAAGACAAATAAAAAGTCAAGTTGTTAAAAATCTATATATGTATAGTATCATATTTGCAGAATATAAAGCACAAGGTTTATAATGTTTTTCAAAGATAAATAACCAAACTACTGTCTAATGTCATGCAGCGTAAAAGACACCTTGAGTCCTTTCTACTTCTAGCCATTGTTGTCCTGTTTCTCAGAGATGAAGGACTTCAGTAGAGGGAAAAAACCGAGAGACTGTTTGAGGTTGAGAGAGTTAATATATAAGGCCAAGTCTGTGGTCAGTAAACTAACGTGTGCCATCTCCCTGTATATAATGTTCTGCTGGCAACAAATCTAAATCCCAAAAATGTCAACCTACCAATGAGGATGGAGTATAAGATCCCTGGTCTGTCAGAGGGAGGCTGTATGTTCCGGTCTTGGTCCACAGCTTGTATGGGTGGAGTCACATTGAGGGGATTCACTTTCATCTGGAGACAAAATTAGTGAGAGCATTAGAGGTGAACAGTTCATAACCATGTGGCTGGAAGCATCTCCTGCAGATATGACAGTAGCTGTTCTGGGCACTGAGGACGACGGGACACAGTTCTTGACAACTTACATTAAAATGACATTGTGCGTGTAACGTAATGTTTGGCTTCATTTTTTTTTTAGAGTAAAAAAAACAAGAAAGAACAGAAACAAAAACAAGACAAACAAGCTAACTTGGAACACTTTCAACTTCCCACCACGCACTGCCAGCTTTAATTTGTGTAATAAGAGATCCTAATCTTAGCTTAAAACAAACAACTGCAACAAAAACAGCTGCCGCCTTAACCGACAGCTAAAACGGGAAGGGATATAAAAGCTACATTTAAAATTTAAAAAGATAATTCTTGCTTGTCTGTCCAACTCAGTTGTTCTAAGGTATGAAAGAAAGAAAGAAAAAGCTTTGCTATTTATTGATGTAACAACAAGCTGTGAGCACGCCAGCAAAGCAAGTGAGAGTTCAACAGCAAAATCAATTGTTAGCAAAAACACACCGAAGCACACTTTAAATCACACGAAGGGCACACGCCAGAAAGAGAAAAGGAATTATCAGAGTAATTAAAAAGTCATCGCCCACAATTAAAATTAGGATCTATTTCTATTGCTGCATATTGTACCTGTTTCTATGTCTATCTACTGCATTAAAAAACACACACACCCAGTTTTGAAGCGTGGCTCCATCTGTATGCGAATGTGGTCAGGCCATAATGTTGACTTACGACTGTGCAACATGCTGTGGCTGGTATAATGGGAGGAGAGAAATATCTATAGGATAAAATCTACAGTCACTAAACATATAAAACGGAGAACCAAGCACGAGCAGCAACACAGCACCGACTTCCAAATGCGCTCCAGAGCATTGAGCGCTCTCCTCTCGAGACACGCTGCACACAATTGGACGCTCGTACACCTGCAATGCTTAAACTCTACAAGACATGCACGGCCAAGCTGTCTCTCCTGTTGCCCGTCAGTGAGGGAGGAAGGGAGGGAGACAGAGGCGATGTTATGGCGAGTAATGAAGTGCTGTAAAAGAGGATGTAAATATATAGAAGGGAGATGAATCTGCCAGGAGCTGAGGGTAAACAGGGAGCGGTGAGAGATGTGAATGCAGCAGAGAAGAAAGAAGTGGAGGGGAGTTTCAGAAAGACGGCCGGGTCACTGAGAGCGCTGTGATAGTATCGCTACACTTTTTGTTACCGACAACGTTTTACACGTCGCCTCTCGATGGGTAAAACAGAGGCGACAGTGTAAGGCTACAAAAGCAGCACAAGAATCAGAAAAGTGTGATTTGCAAGCAGCAGCCAGCACCGTGTGTGATACTATAGACCAGTGGTTCTCCAACTTTCTGAGCCACGACCCCCAAGATAACATCAGTTTGTGTTCGTGACGCCGCAGATTGAATTTGAGTAATAACTTTGTTGTTCATGTGTCAAAAATCAATGTGTAAATTCCACAGATTAGTCTCTTTACATTAACACGTTAATATTCTTTTGAATGAATGAATGAATTGAATTTATTTCGAACAAATGAAAGGGAAAAAATACATAAAAACAAAAGACAATAATTTTAAAAAGAGCAAAAAAGAATAAATAATATCCCATAATCAAATCATAATATGAACAAGTTCAAAAAAGGAGTGGGAAGAAGTATACACTTGTAATTTTGACAGCCCTAATACACATTTATTTAATAAATGTAGGCTTTATTTTTATTTTTTTTGACAATGATCTGGCGACCCCTTGAAATTATCTTGGGGACCCCCATGAGGGTCCTGACCCCCAGTTTGAGAACCACTGCTATAAACAACTGATTATTAATACCATCATTGATAAAGGCTGTGTTTTACAACTCCATAGACTTGTTTTCTTTAATAAAACGAAATAAAATCCTAACGTTTACTGAAACCAGGAACTAGAAACAACCTGACAACTCTGTTTGAATTATTCATGTGTGACTTATGAATTTATCTGGAAAATTAACCAAATTTCATCCTAACATTGTGACATTTCATCAGAATTTCCCCAAAACAAACCATTTGCAATAAACAGAGTCCCTAATGAATACAACGTTGTGCTCCTCAGCGTAACCATGAAGCCATTAGCGACTCGAATGTGACCAACAGTCACATGACAAAACCTCTGGGACCTGTTGGCTGAACTGGGTTGAACTGGGAAACAAACTAAACATCAACGTATATCTATAGTATGTAGAGTTGCCATTATTCCCAGTATTGGTAGCATGTATGGGCACTTGCAAAATGTTGTACATGTTGATTCCAGATTTTTTGCATTGTTTATATATATTTTTAAATTTTTACGACATATGGCATTACGAATGAGTCAGAAGACATTTTAAAATTCTGTCTACTTCTAGCCATGGTTGTAGGACTGGAGATGAGACATGAATGTAGCAAAAAACTTGGTAAACAGAAACTGGTTGAGAAGGGTTGGCCAAGACAAAGGACTTGAATGCAACAGATTCAGCTTCAATATATTTCTTGATCATCCTGCCATCCAGAAAACCATTTCGATCCTTCATCATTCACTCCATTAGGAGTTTGACCTCTTTTATTCAGAATGCTAAAAAAGCAATGTAAATGAGGTTCCTTTACACTTGTAACTGTTCTGAAAGGCTCAACCTTTGTGTAGAAAATGTGCTTATGCTCTTTTTCAGACAGCACTAAAAGCAAAGCACTTCACACACGCTGTGCAGCCGGTATCAAAGAGGCTTCTGACTATATAGACGTGCAGCTCTTCAGTCAAAGTTCTCATCAGGTTTTATCAACTTTTAGACAACCTCTACGTTGGGTACGCGTTGCACTTTCTCCTGTTTGCAAGCACTAACTGCATTGTGCTGTATAGCTCATGGCTATTCATTAGAAGAGACGGCACAGAGGACATTTTGACGAGGGTGCATTTAATAGTGTCAGAGCGCCGGTGTTGTGCTCAGGCATGTGTCTTTGTTGAATTAGGAGTGCAGCTCATGATTATTTAGATTATTCTGCAGAGATATAGGAAGTTTAATTGCCAAAGCCTGTTGGTATTATAATGGTACGACAGAGTATTAAGCCACACAGACGCTGAGAATAAAGCTGTAATTTTACAAGAATCAGGTAAAGATGAGGTATCTCCTGGTTTGTGAAACCAATACTGAAGTACAACTTCATGAAATGCTCCACATCCCTCATTTTACAACAATCTTCTTCTAAAACAACGACAGTCGTGACTCGATAATCTGACACTAAATGTAAAACCTTCTTTTATGTCGATTAGCAAGGCTGTCGGATTGTCAAGACGGAAGAAGGAGTGCTTGATGCTGGAAGGCTCATTTATTGTTAATTTTTGTTGTTAATATTTATTGTTTATAGTTGTTATAATAACTAGTGTATTGTCAGAACACTACGCAATGCTGGATTTCACGACTAACTGACCGGTGCGCCTGTGCACGTTCCGACCACTTCCACCCCGGGGGAGCGCTCCGATGGGATGGAAGTGGCCAAAATGCACAGACAGCACTTGGCTGCTGATGCTAGTTTAGTTAGTGGTCACAGTTCTGTTTCGTTGGTGGTGGTGGTGGTTAATGGCGGATATGCTCCACCGTTACCATCTGTGTTTACTTCCGTAAACACTGAGCACGCTCACTTCGTGTGACGTCGTGTCCTCTTCTGTGCATGCGGGACACTTCTGGGTCGTATGAAGGTCACACAGCAGATCACATAGAATTCGCATTTAATTGGAAATGTGAACGAACTCGCAAAAAATCAGACTTCACAAAAAAATCTGAATTGAGCATCAAGTCCTGCAGTCTGAACGTAGCCAATCTGTGGGATTGTTCAGTCAGATAATACACTGTTATCCTTATTTGTGACATAAAATGTCATGTCGGAGTCAGAATCCAAGGCTGTCTGTATGTTAAGGCTGTTTTTTATGGGTTCTGTTCATTTTTCCTAAAAACCTGTCGGATAGCAAGTTTTAAGATTGTTAAGGGTCGGATTATCAAGTCACGACTGTAGTTTAAATGTTAAGACTTTATTCTTGTAATATTACGACTTTATTCTCGAAGTCTATGGAAAAATACTTTTCTTAATGTGGCCCTAATACTCCGTCGTATAATGGCTTGTTTTATTTAGTGTTTTATATCGTTGCTTTTCTGCCTCTTTCATGCTCAACTGGGGTTATTATACAGCAAGTAGGCAAACTCTCTGCAATTACCAAGCTTTGGTGTAGCAAAACCAGATCAGTTAAGGAGAGCCTGGCATCACCAAACTCACATAATGATGCAAGACAAGAATGTGGGTCCCCGAGAAGATGCAGCAAGTTGGGCAGGTAACACTGAAGGGCTTTCTACACGCCGGACTGTCAAAGGTTTACTGTAGGCGGACATAATCAAGGAAGCAAATGCTGCAGACTCAGCATCAACAGGTACCGAGCAGACACAAACAGCTCAGACACTGCAACGACGAAGCAACGGCGGCTGCCAAACTGCCTTTTATATATAGTGGAGAAACTAATGAGCAAATGAGCAGCAGCTGTGCCGGCAGGTGGCTGATCCCAGGAGCAGCGAGGAGATCAATAGAGGAGGCAGAAAAAACCCCGGAGGTTATTTGGTCAGGTGAGCCCTTGTGTCAGGTGAAGAGCCGCGCGAAAAGTGCACGGCAAGACATTCGTGAGTGCAACAGAGATACAACACTCCCCGATCACATGAAAAAATAACAGATGGCCATTTGCACGAGGCAGTGCACTGCAGTGCCGCGAAGTTGAGTTCAGAAAAAGAGCAACGAAATAAAGTTGTGGTCTTTGATGCTTTGTTCATGCTACTTGGAGCCAATCAATTGCCGGTATTACGCAATGATAAACTAAATGATTGGTCAGGTCCTGGGCGGGTTGTTTACGGTGCTGTTCAATAATCCGTTTTTCCCTTACAGCTATAAATTTCTGAGTTG